GAGGGAGAGAGAGAGAACCCAGAGAAACAGCTCATTCAACACTCAATACTTACCACTACTGTGTATAGTTTTTGTAAAATTAAATTCGATGAATGTTACTATTCGGGATGCTGTGGTAAGGAGCTCACTAGCACTATGCAGGTAGTCCTCACAGTCACCCACCCTGTCAGGCAGGTACTATGGTTATTATCAATTCACAAGAAAGGCACTACAGCTTACTAGTTACACCTAGTGTTCAGCATAAGCAGTAGAACAGTTTTAAACTCACTTGTATGACACCAAGGTCATTTCTTAAAGACTGATATAAAAGCATTAGGAGACTGTTCAGTGGTTAAAAGCAATGGCTGTTCTTCCAGAGGAGCCAGGTTCGATTCCCAGCACCCACATCCTTATTTAGAACTATAACTCAAGTCCCAGGGGAGCTGAGGCTCTCTTCTGGCTTCTGCAGTAAGCAGGCACCCATGTGCAGACATACATGGAGAAAAAACACCCATACTATTTTAAATTATTTTAAAAGTTAAAAAAAAAAAAAAAAACCTATAGATGCATACTAAGTTATCCTAAGAAAGTTAAGGATAACTGTAAAATGTTTAGGTATAATCCTACAAGTAACTGTCCTATAGACTTCAAATTCTGTTCCAGTTTCATGAGTTAAAATCCACCAGAAAGACCTCATAAAGGAAAACAAGGATCATTAGGTCTTTGTGAATTTATTCAATAAAAAGACTAAATGGCACCCTGCCTACAATGACACCAAAGACTAAAACAGACCTATGAACTTAGAAAAAGAACTAGCATGTAGAAACTGAACCTGGCAAAATTAGAACTGAACTAGGTAAAAGTAGAAAAAGAAAAAATTCATTTTTAAAATTTACAGTCATTGTGTACTGTAAGTAGCATTCAGCAGAATTTTGAAATAAGCAGAGAAATATCATAGCATGAGTACTAACAGTCAGAACATACAGTTAGCACTTACTATCTATCAGACCTATAATGTACATGCAATTATTATGTCTCTTCTACAGAAGAGAAAATCAAAACTCAACAGTTATGTGATTTTCCAAAGGTCACATACTCAATATCCTCAAATTACAATACAAGCAAGCAGCGCTTCTAAATTTTATTTTATGCGCTCTCCTTACATAATTTTTGTATAACTTTAAAACATAATAAAATCAGTAAAACTGCTAAACAAGTACCCCACTTTTCCTTCAAAATAAAGCAAAGAATGTGTACTTAGCCACATTATACATATAAAAAAACGGTTCTCCTCAATCCATGAACATGTCATTTGGAAGAAAATAAACTTTCCCAGCCTCACAGTGTATTTTTCCACCCTGTTTTGTTTCACGTGTTCACCCCACACAAATTGCAGTATTGCACTTAGCTCTTTATGCCATCTACCATCCCATTCAAAACTGTCTGATATACCTACGATTACACCAGCACACTAAAACTTCTGTGTAATCATCAAGTCTCCACTATTCTTTTAGATCCTTTCCTCAACATGCAAATGGTTTGCGAGCCAGGTGTGGGGGTGCCAACCATCACTCTCAATACAGGCAGATCTTTGTGAGTTCAGGCCAACCACTCTATATACTGAAATTCAGATCAGCCAAGGCTGTGTAGTGAGACCTTGTTTCAAAGAATAATTATTTCTGACAAAGAACTGTCTAGGATTAAACACATAGTGAATGACACTTTGCCTTACATTTAAGTTCCCTTCTTAAATTGAAATACACTGATTTCCTATCTAATGTCTTTAAATCCTGTTTTCCAGTCAAAACTACATTCCCACAGAGCACCCTGTTTCAGGTATTTTTAATCAAACCAATGCTCTGGTATATCCTATTACATATAATCAGACAACAAGAATTAAAGAGTATTTTTCTTTCCTTTCTCAAAACTGTAACAGGAGCCTAAATTTTTAATAGTTTACAGTCATTTTGTAGTTTAAAAAATAAGGTCTCTTAGGTTTATATATCTGGATCCCAGGATTCTCCAAAGATGCATGCACAGGGAGGGGTGGGCTATTAAGCCTAAGATTATTTTATTCCAATTATTAATTTCTTAAAGCTTGCAGCCATCTGTCAACAAAAATTCTTGAAATGCAGATGAACAAACATATCCAGCACTGTAAGAAATATTAACTTCTTAAAACTGAAGTAATTACACACATTAAAAGAGAAAAAGAACACTCCAGAAAAAATTTTTGATACAAAATCCAGTGTCTATCTGTGTCTGTATATCTGCCTGTATATATGAATAATTCTACAAAAATCTCAGCTCTTAAGATGATTTTACAGCAATCTGTCACTTGTTGCCTTCCAACTTTTGCCAAAAATACATATATCAAAGGCTCTCAAACTTTTCTTAGCTGATTCCAAAAGAGAGTAAGTTAAATTTTAATAATGTGGCTTTAAGTTATTAAAAGTTTCAATTCTCTTTCCTGAAATTATCAGTCTAGTTCCCAACTCCATTTAACAGACCATTATTTTTCTCTTATGACATGAGAACATGCAGCGCACAAGTGGGCATACATACCCACTACCTACCTAATTCGGTGCGATAGAAATCCCTGTTCCTTCGCTAGGTTGCAAGAGCACTGTAACAAACCAGGCAAGTGATGCTATTCGAGAAACACCGCTGAAGTGCACAGGGGTCAGGAGAAAACTTCGGCCCCACCACGGGGTATTTATCATATTGAATGCTCGTCACTGGAACCTCTATAAAGCTTCACATTTCTGGTCTTAACTCTTTTTAAATAGCCCATTTCACTGTGCAACAAGGCATTCTGCTACTAATGAATTACCTGAGTGTGTGGCTTCAGCACAGCAATGACAACCCCTCCAAGTCCTACTTAAATTGTTTCTGTCACGTCCATTTTAAAATAAGTGATAAAGGTAACGATGAAGAAATCATTGTGAACATAATGGAGAGCAGAGGGGAAAATAAGATCTAAGTATATCAAATGCTTTCTACTTGAACCAACTGGGGTTTCTCTCAACATCTGTGATGTGAAATAGCACTGCAAATTAAAAACCTAAGGATGCTACAACAGAGCAGTTCCTGTCCTTTCCTCTGTCTTTTTTCTATAACAAACACACATCATCTTCAAACCACCAAACACGGGGACTTTTCTAAAAGGCAGGAACTAAGATGCGGGCTTGGAGACTGAAAACACGAGACAAAGTTTGTGCCCGAAATACGAACTAAATAAATACAGCAATATGATTTGCTGTGATCCTTTCTCAAATGTTAGCGTAAAATAAGGGAGCAAAATTCACAATGTGGGAAGTGTCCCGGTTGTTCGACCCTTTTTAAAAAGACCTGCCCGGAGGACGAAGATGAACATCGAGTGGACATTAAAGCAGCATTGCTACTTCCCTCAAACCTCAGTCACGCTCTGCTAATGATTGCTCCACAGCAATAACAAACACACATTCGAACTGTAACGACTAGGAAATGCTACCCATTTCCTAGCCTTTAGCTACCCAAAGGCAGGGAGAAGGGCCCTCGAAGGGAAAGAGCCTCGGGCTGAACTGTCCCACGGTCCCCCACCCCGGGCCCCGTGTCAGATAATCAGTTGCTGAGCACCATTAACACGTACTTATCGGCTAGTGGCTCATTACATTACTCGTCCTGTCCGCACGCAGGTGGGCAGAAAAGGGGCCAGCCCACCGTCTGGGTCCCCGCACAAAGCGCGCGTTCCCCGGGGGTCCGCAGCCTCGGACCCCCCGGACGCCAGGGCGGGGGCCGGCCCGGGGCGCGGGTGGGCCTCGGCAGGGGACCCCCGGCCTGCCGCCAGGCTCCGAGAGCGGGCGGCGGCCACCGCGCCCGGCCCGGCCCGGGGGTCTTGGAACCCGGCCTGGCCCGCGCCGCTCGCCCGCGCGGAGACCCGGC